TTCTCGATCAGTATGAATCGAAGTATGTATCTTTTTATTGCCCAATTACGGTCCCGAATGTCCAATTACGCTGTCTGTGCGCGTGTAATTCAAATAAAACGTTATCTTATCGGCACGACGACTACTTTCAAATATTTATACGCTACTTTATTCGAACAAGCTTAAATGAACTACTCATCCGATCCGGTGATTACTTTGTAAGATCGTGACGTACATAATTTCGTATTTCTACTTTTTTCTTTTTCTACGTCTCGCTGACTGATTCAATAAGCAATCGAAGATGCTTTCAAAATAAAAGAAGTGTTTCTATATTCAATATTGTGAATATTTTTAATTTAATAACAAGAATAATAAGAACAATAATAAGAATAAACTATTATTATAATAGTTCATTCGTAGTGTTTCTTCAATGATCAAATTAAATACGGTGGAACCTCGATTATCCGGTTCTGCGATATCAGAATTCTCGATTCTCCAATACCTTTCACAGTCTAATTTCATCCAAAATGATTTCAATCGTAATCTCATGTAATAAAATATTTTCGTTTCGTGGAATTGTTGAGGCGGTCAAAAGTGTTGACAGATTTCCAGCGAAGAAAGCGTTAAAATCGATGGAGAAATAATGCGAAAGTTTTTTCGCGTGAATGCGTCGTTTTCGCGAGCTACGAAAAATCGAAATTATTTACTACAGTAAATTCTCTCGAATCGTCGCTCAGCTTGTAAACAAAATTGGACAATTTAGGAATAGAAGGTACGATCGTTCGCGCCTCGCGGCTCGTTTTCACAGCCGCCGATTCCGAATAACTATAAAAACGAGTCGCGTTGCTCGAATAATCGTATCTCCTCCTGTCGAATCGTCCAATTTCGTGCACAATCTTTAGCGCGAATTCGGGAGAATTCACTGTACATTGAAACAATGTCCAAGACGAAAGCAGCGATCGATCGTTCCGAGAACGATACCGATCGAATTCGTTCGCTCGTATCTTAAAGATCTCGCAGAATCGCGCGTCCTCAGAGGCAACCGACGAGGACATCCCCCTTCGCGGTTGTCATCAGCATGTCACTCGATCGCGACTAGGAAACGCACGGTAACGTTTCTGCTCGACAGGCATCCACCATGATAGTTAGTGGGAGGTGGCAGGTAGCTTTTAGCGCTTCAATGCTCTCCGACACTCATTTCATTTCCACGCACCGTCTCTCGCGGATCAAGCTATTAAATGTTGACTTGAAACGTACGCCGGAACGATTTCAACGAGAATCGCGGACGTCGGATCGGTGAACCGTCGAATCAAGTGCGGCCGTAAGCGATCGTCTTCGAACCAACGAAATATTATCCCGGGCTCGTGTCGACGGCGATTGAACAGCCTCTCCCTTGGGACGGAAAGCTGACAGCTCGGTGATCGTCGGAGACTCGGAAGAGCCGAAACTCTGTGGTGTTCAATTTTTGTCCGTTCTTAGAACCGTATTTGCTTCGGGAGTCGTTGGTTCCTTCGATAGCCTTCCGATTGCAAAATCCGTGGGAAAATCAATTTGACGGAAGCCGGTGTTTCCATCCGCGAGCGACCGTGGTCGCAAAGAGATTACTTTGACGCGTTTCTGCGTTCGAAGCCGATCGCGTCGAAGTTCATAAATCGCTGCCCGAAAAGCGAACGGAGATCTATTCTCGCATCGACGTGCATGATCGAAGAGCCTGTCGGTTGATCTTCGATTCGTGAGAAAACGGCTCTCGAGATTCTGCTCGGAATATCTTTTGAAGCGAGGCGCGTTCTTGTCCTGCACGCGCCGGTTCCCTTGACGGTCGTCGAAAAGTACGGTTCGCCGGGCCACGAAAATGCGATTGCGTTGACACGATCGCTGGGAAAAGTGACAGCTTGGATTTCATCGCCGAGATTTCACCGCGAGCTGGTGCAGAGTTCGTGCTGGCACGAATGATATTGACGATTTTAGCGCGTTACCGAAGTGCGAACGACGACGCCGTGAAACGCAGGAAGAACCGACGATCGGCTCGCCGTCGTGGCAGATTAGAACAATTAGAAGTAAGTAAAAGAAATATATGGTCTCGCGAGGAGATCGCATTTCGTTCGCCTACGATCTTGTAGATTACGAAGAATGCATATCCGTTTAGTCGCGAATGATTCGTTTCGTTGCAGCAATAGTTTCACTTCGATCCGTGCTTTTGCCTCAAAGTTCTCGGTGTTTACGCATTAAGTGTGCGCAATCGAAAATTTAAGTACAACTTGTATACTGAAAAAGGACGAAACTGATTCTCAGTTGAGCTATGAAAGGATCGTTTCTGGTGAAAATAAAACGTAGTCTGAATTTTGCGAATATGTACGTTTTCTTATGATTTAGGGATTTGTGGATTTATTATTAACCCATTAATGCACACAGTTTTTTTTAAAAAGGCCGGCCAAAAAAAATCAATTTTTTTTCATGTAAAAAAGCACAATTTAGAACGTTGTCTTGGCGAGAAAATTACGAAAATACAAAAATAATCAAAATTTTTATTGCAATTTTGGATTTTGATAACATTGCAGAAAATAGTCGAATATTGTAATATTACACGCACATCAACTTTTTTTATCTTTCTTTTCGAATTCCCATTTTTCAGAATAAACATTATTATCAGTAAAAATATTTATTTATACAATTGGTATGATTTCCAATTTTCAGAATATTACTATTATTATTATTATTGTTATTGTTGTTATATTATTATTATTATTATTATTATTATTATTATCGTCATCATTATTATTATTATTAATTATTATGGATTTATTATTATTATTTATTCATG